ATAATGATTAATTTGTCAATAATTTTTTTTATAACTATACAAACTTAGTTGATTATATGGACCAAATTCTTTTTCCCAACAATTTAAAACACAAAAACCATTTTATTTTGATACTAAGGATAACTTTTTCTCCACCTTGTGAATGTTTGTATGTTTTTAAACTCTTAAATGAATTTTTTAAACTAACTATTATATTTTTTAAACTTAAATTTTTTTTTACCAAACATGTTTGTATGTTTTTACTTCCAAAAATACTATTCAAAATACCATACAACAAAACGCTTGTTTTGTTTTGGATTAAAACGAAAACACAAAAACAAAATGGGTACCAAATAGACCCTTACTTAATGTTGTTGAATATTGACTGCTAGAGAACAACACACACATAAATAACTACTTCTCAGCAAAAAGAAAATGTTCTTAATTGAGACAGATGTATTGTACTCGTAAAGTAGTACTTCGTTCTCGACTTTCTTGATTTATCTGTATTATACTCGTAAGGTACTTCATTCTCGACTTTCTTGATTTTTGAATTTCTAATTGCTGTGTCCATTATAAAACGGCTATCAGCACACCATCAATCATAAAAGGACCATTGGGCACATTACTCACAAATGCAACCATATCCATTGATGAGACAAGGTCTTATAATTGTGATGAGCTTGAAACTTCAGTTTTCAACTTTTGAATTAAGTGGATGCCACATCTGGGCTTTTTGTGGTTGATCAGAACGGACTCTAAAAGTTGAACTCAAACTCGGCTCATCATTATTTTGAAATTGGCGGACCTGGCTAAAATGATTTTGTTTTAATAAAATAAATAAATCTTGATATCATATTTGTGTTTCAAGATAAATCTCGAGATAGGTTTTATTTTATTCATGAACATGTAATAACCTAATAGAGAAAAAAATATTAAATACTCTAGGGTGGTACCAATTATAGAGTACCCCCAACTTAAACATATTTACTAGGCCAGAGTACTACATACATGGTACATATACGGTATTCTTGAGATGAATTGTTTGCACCAAACAGGAATCGATCTTGAGACCTATAAACATATACGAGCTAATATTCACTAACATAAACGAGTTTATACGAGTTCATGTTCACACGAGCCAAACTTAATCCCATCCACCTTTGATTATCCACTCAACCCTGATTTCTGTACTTTCTAACTTTTTTCTTAATAACCAACATAACAACAGTTTAAAGCCGGTCCCACCTACACAGGGTACGAGAAAGATTTGCTAAAACATAGTACATTATCTAAGATGAAAATAAATACATTCTCATCCTGTAGTATGGACAAAGAAAAAGAAAAACAATCATTAACACTCAAATTCAGAGCCTCACTTCTTGTGGTGGTCCTGGTTACTCCATTTGCAAATTTTACTCGAAAGATAAATACGTGGAGAAACTAATTTTACAATTTACATATGACACAAGGCCGATAGGCTATTGCTGCAAGGCATGTAGAAGACGAGAAATACCGAATAGTTGCTAGTCGTTCAGAGCCATGAACAAATTGTGCTTTCGAGCATGATCCGGAATAAGCCGATGGACAGTTTCAGCCGAGATGCCTGAAGCTCTGTCAAAAAGAATACAAGTTCTTGTAGGCATTAGAAGCCAAGTTAGAAGAAAAAAGTTTTGAATGAAAACAATATCAAGTGCTGAACATACTTTAATTTTGGAACAATGTTGACAGCTTGTTGTGAGATTTATATGTACCACTCGCAAGTGTACGAATCTTTGCAGATAGGGCTTACTTGTAAGGGTGTCGTACCCAAGGAACTTGTGTAAAATAAGTTTGTCAATAGATTTCTTAAATTCTAAATTAACTTGAAAGTATGATAATCAGATTTTGATGATTTATTCTAAATTAACTAAGTGGGAAAATAAAATAAGAACAATGATTAAATAAATAGGATGTAGAAAATAGAGAGAGAAGACTATGTGAATGACTTCACCACTAATGCCGCACCACCAGTCAATTGCATCAATTTATTGGAGATATAACATATAACATGCATAGGAAAAGTAATCATGGCTACAAGCACATATTAATTCAGCTAGAAGATAATATAATTTAAAGCTAAGCATGAACTATTTTCGATTGGCATAAACCATCTACCTAACTACTTTACTCTAGGGTGTAGTATGGTTTATCTTTTTTAGGCATAATCCATTAAATCTCTAACATTATATTTAGAGGAAAACCATTGTGTAATTATCTCATTCACAACTACAAGAAGTGAATGAGTTATGTTCAATCACAAAATTCAAATATCAAAGACAAGATAGAAAAATATTTGTAATTGAATTAAAACTTTAAATCCGATTTTTATTGAAAAGTCAATTAAAAATCCTATAGAGTACACAATCATGCATAATAATAAATGTTATCCAATAAATAAATACAATCAAACCAGTGGTGCTAAGCTAGGGCTACATCACAACCCTAGCAAAGCGTTTAGCCGAGCATCTTTGGAATAGAATTCTTCATGGTTGAGGAAGACATCTTCATCGCCATGGATTGATCCCTTCTTTCTGTTAATGCTTCCCTTCTGATCTCTGCCTCAATCTCCTCTGTATATGATATGCTCTAATGATGTAGAGAACTCCTTTTAAAAAAGAGAAATTAGCCCTAAAGTTCCATTTTTCACATAGAAGACATATATGGAAATTCTGCCAAATAAGGACTCCAAAATTCGTACAGATTTCCAGCCCAATTTTGACAAAATAAACAACTGTTTTATGAAATCCTCATGAAATACAAAGTTGTAGCACTTCAAATTTCCGATCAACCATTATGGGAATGTAGCTATTTTGATACTCGAGGAGAAAGATATAGGAAGATTACCAAAACAAGTTCAAGTTACCAACTTTGGAGAAAGTTTCCTAGTTGGAGAATGATTTTTCCTTTTCTTCTTCTTTCCATTCTCATCACATTGTGGCTTATTTTAGACTCTTTTTTAAGTGTAATTGGACTTGAATCTTCAACATTGTTCGGTCCCACGGAATGTCATCTTTTAAGGCTCGAAATCACTAGTCTTGACTGATATTATAATTAAAGCCCTGAAATAAATAAAAATAATAAAACAATGTAAAATCACAAGTAAACTACTATTAAGAGAATAAAATATGCAAGTAAAGGGGCTAAAATGTATAACATTCAGCGCCTAACACACTCCCAAACTTACATATTGCTAGTCCCATAGTAATAAAACTAAAGAAACATAAAATGCCATTTTCGTGGGAATCACGATTGCATTTAGCGTATGCAACAAGCCTTTTAAACCCATGGGTTACCCCTAGTGGAACAGTGAAATCTCATGAAGGTTTCCAGAGATGATACCCACAAACATACAAAATAATTCAATCCTCCGACAATCGACTTATTCTTATATCATCATAATTATCAAGGGGAAGACTACACAAAAGTACTTTAAAAATTTATAAACTGACAATACTCCTTAGTCCCTATTTTCATACTTCATCTCAATGTTTCCCACACACTTTATATAACAAGAATAATAACAAAAATCAATCCCCAATGTTGTGAAATTTGTGAACTAGCAAATCACCTATGTAGTAATGTCTTTTCAATTGAATCCAACTTCTATAATTTCAATTCCTCAGATCCCTTCTCAAGTTATCTTTCTATGGCAAAATATATTATTTTTTTTCTTTTCACACACATTGTATTGATTGGTTGTGCAATGTCCTATCTATTAAGCTTTCTAGAAGACTCATGTAGCAAGCTTTCAGCCAATGACTCCCATACTAGACAATCTTAGGGCATTAGGTGTAAAGACACCCCTAAGGACTTAATTGCTCAAGTTAACTAGGCTACAAACCTAGACAAACCAAATCAATTTATTTCAATTTTCTTTTTTCCTTACCCCCTACTTCTTCATGCGAACACTTTATGCTTATGAGACATGAGGCCCAATTACTCCATGAAAGGGTTTAGATATTTAATTTTTTTAAACTTTATATATGCCATAGTAACCTTCAAAGTTCACCAATTCATATCCATCCATAGTTATCAGAATTCAACCAAAAATATAAATACCCATAGATAAAATTCTAGCGTGCATGTGAAATCCATCAGGGATTGGCAAATACCAGAACTCCTATCATACTAGATAATGGGACCCACATAAGATAAATCACAAATAGTAGGGATTCAAAATGATCTCAAAAAAGAATTTTAAAAATTAGTTAAGTGTCTTAATCCCCCCAACAATGCTCAAATACTTGAATTAAAGTCAATATGCCAAAGAAATTTTATTTATGTATTTATTATTATTATTATTTTTCAAAAAAGCAACTAGAGTAGACTCCATGCCCCCAAACTTGAATTGGACAGTGTTCTCACTGGGTAAAAATCAAAAGCAAGAAAAATAACAACAAAAAAATAAAAAAATAAAAATAAAAACAAAGAATGAAAACACCTGATAGGATAGCGAAAATGGAAGAGGTGGAGCATCAGGATTAAGCCCGTTATAAATCATAAGCGCGTGCATCATGTCCATCATTGTATCCTACACAAGTAACTAAAAAATCCTACGAAACACATTAAATCTTCTTAATCTACTAAAACAAAAGATGAAATTAAAGAGAGAAAAAAAATACATAAATGAAAAAAAAAAATCCTATCTACAATTCCTACATTTAACGTTGGTAGGCAACGAGGTACCTGGATGCTTAGGTGGAGTAGATGAGATCCGTCAAAGTGACGGATTCAACTCCTTTCGTAGGCACGGAATCTTCATTGTACCAATCCTTCCGATCCGACCGAACTATCTTCTTTCTTGACACCTTCCAATTCATAATAGCATCATACCATGGTGGAAATGGCTCAATAGGAATCTTCTATGGTGGAATGTTGTGCATACTGACTACATCAAGTATGTCATTCACCTCTTCAATGCTTTTCTCCACATTAAATGACTCTGCATCAAAGTAAGATAGGCATGCTTCCAGCGGATCTTATGTTAAGGCAAATGGAGCCACCTCTTCAACACATTCGTCGATGGCATAGACAAGAAAGCAATCACTATTGTCTGAAGGGAATTGAATGGCATTGAAAATATTTAAGCGAACCTTCATATTGCCAAAAGATAAGTCCATGATGCCAGTCCTATAATTTATGCTTGCATTTGCTTTTGCAAGGAAAGAACGACCAAAGATTACTGGAATGTGCCTCCTTGGCTCTGGAACTGGCTTAGTATCTAGCACAATAAAATCCATCGGGAAGTAGAATTTATCTACTTTGATGATCACTTCTTCGATGATCCCATGAGGTTGCTTAGTTGACCTATCTGCCAATTGGATAATAATTGAGGTAGACTTCAATTCTCCCAATCTAAGTTGCAAGTAAACCGAATAAGGAAGAAGGTTTATACTTGCACCCAAATCTAGAAGAGCTCGATCCACTTGATGGTTCCCTATTGTACATAAAATTGTTGGAGCACCTGGATCCTTGAATTTTGGAGCATTGCAGTGCTGGATTATGGAACTCGTTTGCTCAGTTAGTAGTACCTTCTTGGGAGTTTGACTATTTAAACGCCTCTTCTGAGTACATATATCTTTCAAAAATTTGGCGTAAGCTGGAATTTGCTGAATTGCATCAAGCAACGGGAGATTAATCTTCACCTACTTAAATATCTCCATTATATCCTGAAGTTTGCTTGCTTGCTCCCCCATCTTTGATGTTGCTTGTAGTTTTCGAGGGAATGGCACAATTGCATGCATTGACTCAGGAGATGGCCTAGTAGTTGGAGGTGTTTCTTGTGCTTCTTTATTACGCTCCTTCTTTTCTTCAACTCTTTTCTTCCAATTTTCATCATTCTTTGCTTCTTCTTCTTCCACCTTGTTTTCAACTCTCTTACCACTTCTTAGAGCAGTAGTTCCTTGCACTTGTTCATGGTGAACCTCTTGGCCAGTAATGTCATCAATTATATGCACACCTCTTGGATTAGCCACTGGTTGACTAGGAAGCTTGCCATCTTCTCTTCTATTCAAGACTTGCGCTAGTTGGCTAACTTAAGTCTCTAACTTGGCAAGGGATTGAGATTGAGAATGAGACTGCACAAGTTGATTAGTTGGCTATAACTGCTTTGCCATCATTGCCTCGAGCATTAATAAGAATTGTTGAGGTTGACTGAAGGCATTCATAGGAGTGAACCTTTGAAGATTTGAAGTCTGAACTTGAGATTGAAAGTTGCCTTGCACCTGAGGTACTTAAGGTGGAGGAGCTAATGGCTCTGTGGCTGGACTTCTCTATGATAAGTTAGGGTGGTTTTTCCAAGCCGGATTATAAGTGTTGGAAAATATATTACCTCCGGGCCTTCCATAGGTAGCATTAACTTGCTTTTGTGGAATTTCTGAATATTGAGCTACATTTGGACAAATGGACACATGGTGAGATGGGCTGGAACAGAAACAACACACTTCAAAGCCTTGAGCATTAGTCGAATGAGGAGTAAAATTTAACTGTGAAGTCATCAATTGTTCAACTCTTTTGGTCAATGCCTCCATGTAATACCCCTAGTTTTCAAAAGGATACGATTGGAATTTAAATTTTATTTTATGTGAAATTTTAATTTGATTTTTATGGATATGTGCTTAGGTGTCAGATTTTAATTTGATTAGTGGTTTGTTTTAATTAATTGTTTTATTTAAATGGTTTGTTTTAATTAATTGCTTAATTGTAGTTTTATTTTCTTTATTTGAATTATATTCGTTTTTTTTTTAATTGTTTAAACTATTTGTTATTTTAATTGAATGAGTTAATTAGGTTTATATTATTAGTGTTTTAAATTGTAGGGTTAATTAGGTTTTCCATCGGAGGTTAGGATTTAGGGTTCCTTGGTGCTTATATATATATATTCTGTTATACTCTCAAAAGGGTTTAGAACCCTATACACGTACAGTTGAGAGAGAGAAAACAGAGAGGAACAGAGAGAGGTTGTGAGAAACAAATAGAGCCACTTTGGTGAGGGTTTGGCCGTGGCTTGAAGGACAGACGTAGGAGAAGGGAAGATGGAGCAATAGGAGATTTAACAGTGAGTTGGATCGCTGGAAAAACTTAGAACGAAGGCAACAGAGTTTTGAATCCAGAACTGTAAAGGCAAGTTCTTTCATTTCTCTCTCCCGTTGCCTGTGTTCTATGCATCCTTAGACTGTCTCTAGGGTTTTAATTGTTCATTAATTAAATTATACATGCCTGTTATATGCTAAATCAGATGTTTATATGTGTGATATTATTCGGTTATGATTCTTGTATCTCTGGTTTCCAGTTTGGAATGGAAGCATGTTTAATCGGTTAAGGATTTAAACATTGTAATTGATCTGAAATTTTGTGATCAAGTCATGGGAATGAGTTAGGGTATAAATAGGACTCTTAGGTTCAGTATTAAGGTGAACAGAGGGTCAAGAATGGTCGGAAACGAAGCTGGTAGTCAGACGGAGCAATAATGAAAGAGAGAAGGCTCGCAGAGAGGGAGAGCTGGCTCTGGAAGGCAAAGAGCCAGCTCCCCCCCATTGTAGAGCCGGCTCTAGGAGAGATAGAGCCGGCTCTACCTTTCTAGGAGGCGGCTCCATGGTTTTTGTGAGCCTGCTCTCCAATTTTGAGAGCAGGCTCTCTTGTTTCAGTGTGTTTCTAGGGGTTTTTGCGTACTGTTGGGACAAATGGGGTTCCAGAATTTGTTGTGGATGTTATCAAAGTTATAAACATTAAGTCATGATGTATTAAAACCATTAGGATGCATAATTTGAACTTTATGCTAAGGATCTTGAACAGTATAGAAGATTAAGAACAAGTTGTATACTATTAACGAATGGAGATAATTTAATTGCTTAAGTTGATGTAGCAATGTAAATGACTAATTTATGATTTAAAATCTATTTTAGATGTGTAATAGGGTCATGTAATTGTTAGACCTTATTTGCGCATAGGTTGGATCTTAATTGAGGAGCTAGTAAAATAGGTTTCATTAATTAAATGGAGTTTGTTATTTTAATTGTTGAAATGTTCTTCTGTTTATTTAATTATTGGTTAGAGCTGTTGATTTCCTGAGTTATATTTTTTTTCCTTCTCAAATTTATAAATTGACACTTTACTATTGATAATGTTGTCAACTGCTAGACTGTATTAGGGGTTAGTTGAACTTTAAGTTAGATAAATTAAAGTATCAATGACATGGATGAATTCTGTATTTCAACTTGATGAAACATTAAACTTTGTCTCGTTAATTACATGGACGGATTTTGGATTTTAACTTGACAAATTAGTAAACTTTGTCTTATTTAATTACATGGATGGATTCTGGATATTTAGTTGATGACTTGTTTAAATTCTGTGTTTGTCAACTATATGGATAATGTGGACTTTATTTGATGTACTGCTTATAATGATGCATCATTTACGGATCATATGCATGGTATGTACCGGTATGGGATGGTGACATACGGAGGGACGGATTAGATTAAAACACTAATTCCAACTCATTCATACATACGGAATGGATTAACTAAAACAGTTAAATCCTACATGGTTTCATGTCCTGTCAACTAAAACAGTTGAACGACATACTGGATGGTTGTTTATATTTCTGCGTTAGGATGGATAGGGTTTTAACTAAAACGTTTAAATCCTGATTATATGTTGTGTCTTGACCAATGAACTATTGACCGGCACAACATTGTATTTGGAAGGAACTTATATATATAATTGGAGTAGGGATTTAATTAAAACATTTAAATCCTAATTTTATGTCGTGTCATGGCAATGAATCAGTTGAGCGGCACTACATTGGTTTGGATGGGAATTTATATATATAAATTATGGTACCGCGATTTGAGCTTGAGTCTCATAGTCGACGGTTAGGGTGCGTATATGCAGTAGGATGCGTAGCTAGCTATGTTGGTTGAGGTATACCCTGTTAGGCTTAGGTAGTCATGCCCACTCAGGTGCGTATTGTATGTTACCTTCTATTCAGGTTGAGACCCTCAGCATAGTTAGTGAGAGTCCTGTAGTGTGGATATATATTTATCTATTACGGACTATATAGATATGATTGGGACGTCTAGGATGTATCAGCGTATCGGGACTCTGTTTGGATTGTACTTAGGATAGAACTTGTTCGTGGGCCTGACCCACCATTATTTTTCAGGTAACGGACGGTTTCAGGTCTTAGAGCTTGTTCGTGCTGAGCAGAGACGACTACTCATTCTACCGACGATGTCCGAGGTTCTTCATGGTTTAGCAGTGGACTTCTTTTTAGTTGTTCGCTTTCCAGTATTGGCTTTTGATTAGGGGTCCACTAGATGGATTCCCGAGTTGTATTATAATTGGAGAAGTTGGATGTAACAAACTAGTTCTTATTTATAAGATTTATTCTGAAGTTTTCAATAAAGGATTTTCGTTTAGTTTCTCTCCAGCGAATTTTATTTACTCATGTTTATCTTAATTATATTCTGTGTTCGATTATTGCTAATTTGTTTGATATCCTCGGGTAGTCGGGCGTGGGCCTGGCCAACCCGCATCCGGAAATCCGGGGGTATCACACTCCATCTGGCTCACTAGCCATTGATTTACTCCTGCTTCATTCATACTTTCTGCTTTCCTTAATATGGTAGGAGGCCTTACTACTGGAGGTAAGACATGTTGTGTAGAATTATCAAATATATTTTTGAAGAGCTGTCATGCCTCCTTTTCACTTTTTAACATAAAATTTCCACAACATGATGCATCCACCATATACCTTTGTGCCTTATTGAGCCCCTTATGAAAGAAGTTGACAAGCTGCCATTTTGGCATGTCGTGATGAGGACACTTTCAAAGGAGGTCTCTGAATCTATCCCAAGCCTCATGAAAAGGCTCGTCAGGCCCTTGAGCAAAACTAGTAATGGCATCTTGATATTGAGTAGTTCTCACCATGGGGAAGTACTTGTTCAAAAATTTCTGTCTCAACTTTGCCAATGTAGTGATGGAGTTTGTTGGAAAGGAATTAAACCAGTCATTCGCCTTGTCCTTCAATGAAAAGGAGAAAAGTATAGCTTGAGCACATCATCATCAAAACTCTGGATTTTTATTGTTCTGCACACCTGTGCAAAGTCATCCAAGTGTCGGTATGGATCCTCTTTTGATAGGCCGTAAAAAGAAGGCAGTAATTGAAGAGTACTAGCCTTAATTTCGTAGTGATAGGCCCTTACTTTAGGATACCGAACTGCAGATAAAGAGTTATATGTACCTGGTTCATAGTGATCTATTAAACGGCGAACTGCTCCTACAACAGCCCTGTTGTTCTCCAAATTATCCGCCATCTTTTCCTTTTCAAGGTCTCCAAAATCCTTCTTCAAGTGTTTGAAATAGTCACTTGAAATAGTCAGCATAATAAAAATAAAAATAAAATAAAATAAAATCCTTACTAAGATCCTAATTGAAATTAATTGTAAAATTTAATATAAGCTGTCAAGAACTAAAACAAGTCCCCGGTAACGGCGCCAAAAACTTGTTGTGAGATTTATATGTATCACTCGCAAGTGTACGAATCTTTGCAGATAGGGCTTACTTGTAAGGGTGTCGTACCCAAGGGACTTGTGTAAAATAAGTTTGTCAATAGATTTCTTAAATTCTAAATTAACTTGAAAGTAGGATAATCAGATTTTGATGATTTATTCTAAATTAACTAAGTGGGAAAATAAAATAAGAACAATGATTAAATAAATATGATGTAGAAAATAGAGAGCAAGGACTAGGGGAATGACTTCACCACTAACGTCGCACCACAAGTCAATTGCATCAATTTATTGGAAATATAACATATAACATGCAAAGAAAAATTAATTATGGCTATAAACACATATTAATTCAGCTAGAAGATAATATAATTTAAAGTTAAGTATGGACTATCTTCGATTCGCATAAAGTATCTACCTAACTACTTTACTCTAGGGTGTAGTATGGTCTATCTTTTCTAGGCATAATCCATCAAATCTCTAACATTATATTCAGAGAAAAACCATTGTATAATCATCTCATTCACAACTACAAGAAGTGAATGAGTTGTGTTCAATCACAAAATTCCAATATCAAAGACAATAGAGAAAAATATTTGTAATTGAATTAAAACTTTAAATCCGATTTTTATTGAAAAGTCAATTAAAAAATCTATAGAATACACAATCATGCATGATAATAAATGTTCTCTAATAAATAAATATAATCAAACCAGTGGTGCTAAGCTAGGGCTACATCACAACCCTAGCAAAGCGTTTAGCCGAGCATCTTTGGAATAGAATTCTTCATGGTTGAGGAAGACGTCTTCACCGCCATGGATTGATCCCTTCTTTCTTCTTAATGCTTCTCTTCTGATCTCAACCTCAATCTCCTCTGTATATGATATGCTCTAATGACGTAGAGAACTCCCTTTAAATAAGAGTAATCGGCTCTAAAGTTCCATTTTTCACATAAAAGACATATATGTAAATTCTGCCAAATAAGGACTCCAAAATTTGTACAGACTTCTAGCCCA